CCAATATATGTATTTGTAAAGCTAAAAATTACTCAATCTATTTTTCTATTTTAAACTTTTTTTATATATCAAATGTTAGCTGACAAGTTGTTTAGAAGCCATGTGTTAATTACTTCTTGTAATTATCGTAATTGCTTGTCTTTTACAGTAGTGTCTGAGGCCAGATACTCGATAATTCCACTTTAGCTGTGAGAGTAATTTGTTTGCTACTGACATCAAATTTTTTAGTACGGTTTGTGAGTTAATTTCAAGTGAATAAAAGGGTTTAGATCACAAGCACATTAGCAGAAATGCCAATGGATATATAAAATTACAGACATATATTAAATTGTCTATTTCTTATACCTAAAAATAAAAGAAAAATAGAAATTTTACTGCCTAAATATATATGTGGGAATTTACTATTCTATCATTTTAGGATTTTTATATGTTTAATTGGGATAACTCAGAAATAAAATATAAGACTGTAATAATGAGACATACACGTATGGCTGTCAGCATAACTGATGCCATCTTGGTCCTATTCTGTTCCTCCCGACCCCACCTAGGGCTTTTTTGTGTAGTAATTCTCTTCTCTACTGTCAAGGACTTTGTAGTTAAAAGATGTTGTTTAATGTTATTTAGGGCCAGGCGGCCTCTATGATCTGTTAGCCTCCAAACAATGATGAAGACCTTCATTGTGTATTTCAGGCACCCACAAGACTAGTTAAGTATCCATAAATATTGACTTAGGGATGCACTTCCTGTTTCCAAGCACTCCCATGCTTCCAAAGCATTCCCATACCCTAGGTTACTGATAAAATTGTCCCAATGGCCCCTCAGTGTTGCAGAGTGCAGCTGTGAATGCTTTCAGATTGTTGTCCAACTGATCCTACTTTGTGAGTAAATTACCCTATAAAAAACTGATCCATTGATTACAGTAAATCCCCTACATACAAACGAGTTCCATTCCAAGAGTGCGTTTGTAAGTCCAACTTGTTTTTAAGTCCAACAAAGTTAGCCTAGGTACCCAACTAACACAATCGGCTGTATAGTACTGTACTGTAATAGGTTTATAATGCTTTTCACACAAATAATACATAGAAAACAAAAAATAAAAAAACTTCTTTTTAACATCTTTATTAGAGTATAACTGCTTTATAGTGTTGTGTCAGTTTCTGCTGTATAACAAAGTGAATCAGCTATATGCATATGTATATCCCCATATCCCCTCCCTCTTGCGTCTCCCTCCCACCCTCCTTAGAAGTATAGTAGTACAGTATAACAGCTGGCATACAGGAGCTGGCATCGAGTGAACAAGGACAGTTGTTGACTGAAGGAGGCAGAGGAGGTGGGAGATGGTAGAGCCAAAGGATCATCAGCAATAGTAGATGGAGGGCAAGCTGAAATTTCACTCACACCTGACGTTGATGGCACAGGTTCTGGTTCCTTGCTGGATTCAATTCTATCTACCCTCTTGAAAAAATGGCATCCCTGGGTAGTAGCTGTTTTGTCCTCAACATCTATGACATGGTGGCACTGGATTGCATTCTGAATGGCTGCTGCAACCTTCATGTACCGTTCTACATTCGGGTCCTATACCTCAAAAAGTTACAGTGCCTCCTCAAATAAAGAAAATCCCCTTTCCATTTCCTGTGTCCTGAATCTCTTCAGTTCTTCAATTACTTCGTTTTCCTCTTGCCTCTCTTTGTCCATTCTCTGGGCCTCCGATTCCTGGCACTTCTTACCAGTACCAGCTACATCACCGCTGCTTTTACGCTTGCTTCTGGACATCCTGGGCTTGAAATAAAGATACTGTACTACTGTACTCTCTACAGTACCGTACAGTAAAGTACACAAAAGCACAACCACTTGTAGATGATGTACGAACGTGACAGTGTACACCACACATGTGAAGTAACATATTATTGGACATGCGAACACATTTTCGCACCTTTGAAAGTTCGCAACTTGAAGGTTCGTATGTAGGGGACTTACTGTATGCGGAGCTGTCTGCCTCGCTTCTTGGTCTCAAATTACCTCCTCAGTTCAGTGGGTACTTTTCTTTCTCGCCATTCTCTAACACATATGATTTCATAGTTCCCTTTAATGTAACTCTAAATTATAGTGTTATTTAGAATAAACAGCTTCCCCATCCTTTATTTAATTATAAATATTTTTCCAAAACTATTTACTAGGCAACTACTTTGTTCTGAGAATTTTGCTAGACCTTGGGGATACAGTGTTGAAAAAGTATATTCTTGTTTCTCAGAAGCATTGGGAAGAATGTAATAGTTGCAAATGAATACAATATTGAATAAGTATTTTGGTGAGTATATGCACAGAACATGTGGAAGCCCACTAATGGTGTCATTTAGCCGGTCTTCTGGCTTCCTAAAGAGAATTTTCATGTGAACTGATTGCTAAGTAAAATCTGCAAGACCTAAGTGTGAAACCATTTGGGTATGTTTCAGAAGGAGGGAAACCAGTGGAGGAAATCCCAGATAAGAGAGGTGAACCAAAAGGTGAAAGAGGACACAGCTTATTGGGGAAAAACCAATCTGGTAAGTAGAGACCTCAACAAATATGATTTATCAATAAGGTAAACAAGTAATTCATCATGAAGACTGGTCTTTTTGACTAAGGGTTTTGGGTGTTATCTGAGGCTTTAGTGTTTGTGCTTTGGAAGTAGTTGCTGATAATCAAATGCTTAACAGTGTTAAACAGGACAAATGCTAAGTAGATTTTTCAATGGGAGAAAAAAAATCTTATATGTTGTCAGTATGTGTTTAGGTTATTTTTCATTTTAATAAGGTTTATATTTGACAAAGTATTAATGATTTCTTCATTTTTTTTATTATATGACAAGCTTCAGAGAACAGTTTTTATTAGATTTTTGTTTAATGCCTTATCCGACAGCACACATACATATGTATATCTCGTTAGCTCAGTTTTTAAAATTTATAATCATGAAGTGACTGACATAGAGCAGTTGTTTTAGTTCAATGCTGTATCATTCTACTAAAGCCTAGTCATTCCTCTTAGAAATTCATACAAAGAAATACACGTGGTTAACGGGAAGACCTTCAAGTCGTGTACTTCTGATTAAGTTTAAGATATATTTAATAATGAAGATCAGTACATTGGCTAATTGCTGCATACAGTGCTAAGAATTAGAAAATTTTTAATCCAATATGCAGAGATAAGCAGAATTGAATTCCTGAACTATCAACTACCAAGCAAAGCACTACCAAGCAGACTACATTTCCTCCTAGTTCCAGACTGGGAATAATGTGGAATCATTTTAGGTGATACGTATTTTTACTTTTTAAACACTATAACCAAATTTAATATAAAATGCAAAAAAAAGTTCTTTCATGCTCAAATAATTTTACATTTTGGTTTCAGATACCTATAGTAAAAATTTTAAAGAGTGTCTTATGTAAATGATGGACTCTCTTCACTGTTTTATCAAATAAGCTAGGTCCAGTTACTAAGAAGTGAGGTACTTCTGTGATTCCAAAGTACTTTATACTGAGCATAGTGTATTAAGTCATCTATGCATTTTGTAAATTAATGAACATCTCTGACTTCCCACTGTGCCCTAAAAAGTCTTTTGCTTCCTCTGCAAATTTTATTAGATACTGAATGACTTATTTTAAAATAGTTTTGTCTTGGTAATCATTTTTCACTCTGTGTAAAATGGGTGATGATTTCATAATCTATAAATCTTAAATGAATATTTTTTTAACATCTTTATTGGGGTATAATTGCTTTACAATGGTGTGTTAGTTTCTGCTTTATAACAAAGTGAATCAGTTATACATATACATATGTTCCCATATCTCTTCCCTCTTGTGTCTCCCTCCCTCCCACCCTCCCTATCCCACCCCTCCAGGCGGTCACAAAGCACCAAGCTGATATCCCTGTGCCACGCGGCTGCTTCCCACTAGCTATCTACCTTACGTTTGTTAGTGTATATATATCCATGCCTCTCTCTCGCCCTGTCACAGCTCACCCTTCCCCCTCCCCATATCCTCAAGTCCGGTCTCCAGTAGGTCTGTGTCTTTATTCCTGTCTTACCCCTAGGTTCTTCATGACATTTCTTTTTCTTAAATTCCATATATATGTGTTAGCATACGGTATTTGTCTTTCTCTTTCTGACTTACTTCAATCTGTATGACAGACTCTAGGTCTATCCACCTCATTACAAATAGCTCAATTTCGTTTCTTTTTATGGCTGAGTAATATTCCATTGTATATATGTGCCACATCTTCTTTATCCATTCATCCGATGATGGGCACTTAGGTTGTTTCCATCTCCGGGCTACTGTAAATAGAGCTGCAGTGAACATTTTGGTACATGACTGTTTTTGAATTTTGGATTTCTCAGGGTATATGCCCAGTAGTGGGATTGCTGGGTCATATGGTAGTTCTATTTGTAGTTTTTTAAGGAACCTCCATACTGTTCTCCATAGTGGCAGAACCAATTCACATTCCCACCAGCAGTGCAAGAGTGTTCCCTTTTCTCCACACCCTCTCCAGCATTTATTGTTTCTAGATATTTTGATGATGGCCACTCTGACTGGTGTGAGATGATATCTCATTGTAGTTTTGATTTGCATTTCTGTAATGATTAATGAAGTTGAGCATTCTTTCATGTGTTTGTTGGCAACCTGTTTAGGTTCTTTGGAGAAATGTCTATTTAGGTCTTCTGCCCATTTTTGGATTGGGTTGTTTGTTTTTTTGTTATTGAGCTGCATGAGCTGCTTGTAAATTTTGGAGATTAATCCTTTGTTGGTTGCTTCTTTTTGTTGCAATGGTAAATGGGAGTGTTTCCTTGATTTCACTTTCAGATTTTACATCATTAGTATATAGGAATGCCAGAGATTTCTGTGCATTAATTTTTTATCCTGCTACTTTACCAAATTCATTGATTAGCTCTAGTAGTTTTCTGGTAGCATCTTTAGGATTCTCTATGTATACTATCATGTCATCTGCAAACAGTGACAGCTTTACTTCTTCTTTTCCAATTTGGAATCCTTTTATTTCCTTTTCTTCTCTGATTGCTGTGGCTAAAACTTTCAAAACTATGTTGAATAAGAGTGGTGAGAGTGGGCAACCTTGTCTTTTTCCTGATCTTAGTGGAAATGCTTTCAGTTTTTCACCATTAAGGATGATGTTTGCTGTGGGCTTGTTATATATGGCCTTTATTATGTTGAGGAAAGTTCCCTCTATGCCTACTTTCTGCAAGGTTTTTATCATAAATGGGTGTTGAATTTTGTCAAAAGCTTTCTCTGCATCTATTGAGATGATCATATGGTTTTTCTCCTTCAATTTGTTAATATGGTTTATCACATTGATTTGCGTATATTGAAGAATCCTTGCATTCCTGGAATAAACCCCACTTGATCATGGTGTATGATCCTTTTAATGTGCTGTTAGATTCTGTTTGCTAGTATTTTGTTGAGGATTTCTGCATCTATGTTCATCAGTGGTATTGGCCTGTAGTTTTCTTTCTTTGTGACATCCTTGTCTGGTTTTGGTATCAAGGTGATGGTGGCCTTGTAGAAGGAATTTGGGAGTGTTCCTCCCTCTGCTATATTTTGGAAGAGTTTGAGAAGGATAGGTGTTAGCTCTTCTCTAAATGTTTGATACAATTCGCCTGTGAAGCTATCTGGTTTGGGGCTTTTGTTTGTTGGAAGATTTTTAATCACACTTTCAATTTCAGTGCTTGTGATTGGTCTGTTCATATTTTCTATTTATTCCTGATTCAGTCTTGGCAGGTTGTGCATTTCTAAGAATTTGTCCATTTCTTCCTGGTTATCCATTTTATTGGCATAGAGTTGCTTGTAGTAATCTCTCATGATCTTTTTTATTTCTGCAGTGTCAGTTGTTACTTCTCCTTTTTCATTTCTAATTTTATTGATTTGAGTCTTCTCCCTTTTTTTTTTTGATGAGTCTGGCTAATGGTTTATCAATTTTCTTTATCTTCTCAAAGAACCAGCTTTTAGTTTTATTGATCTTTGCTATCGTTTCCTTCATTATTTTTCATTTATTTCTGATCTGATTTTTATGATTTCTTTCCTTCTAATTTCTGGATTTTTTTTGTTCTTCTTTCTCTAATTTCTTGAGGTGCAAGGTTAGGTTATTTATTCGAGATGTTTCCTGCTTCTTAAGGTGGGCTTTTATTGCTATAAACTTCCCCCTTAGAACTGCTTTTGCTGCATCCCATAGGTTTTGGGTCGTTGTGTCTCCATTGTCATTTGTTTCTAGGTATTATTTTATTTCCTCTTTGATTTCTTCACTGATCACTTCGTTATTAAGTAGTGTATTGTTTAGCCTCCATGTGTTGTAAAAATACAGATCTTTTCTTGTAACTGATATCTAGTCTCATGGCGTTGTGGTTGGAAAAGATACTTGGTACAATTTCAATTTTCTTATATTTACCAAGGCTTGATTTGTGACCCAAGATATGATCCTGGAGAATGTTCCATGAGCACTTGAGAAAAACGTGTATTCTGTTGTTTTTGGATGCAGTGTCCAATAAATATCAATGAAGTCCAGCTTGTTTAATATATCATTTAAAGCTTGTGTTTATTTATTTTCATTTTGGATGATCTGTCCATTGTGAAAGTGGGGTGTTAAAATCCCCTACTATGAATGTGTTACTGTCGATTTCCCCTTTTATGGCTGTTAGTATTTGCCTTATGTATTGAGGTGCTCCTATGTTGGGTGCATAAATATTTACAATCGTTATATCTTCTTCTTGGTTCGATCCCTTGATCATTATGTACTGTCCTTCTTTGTCTCTTGTGATAGTCTTTATTTTAAAGTCTATTTTGTCTGATATGAGAATTGCTACTCCAGCTTTCTTTTGGTTTCCATTTGCATGGAATATCTTTTTCTATTCCCTTACTTTCAGTCTGTATGTGTCTCTAGGTCTGAAGTGGGTCTCTTGTAGACAGCATATATATGGGTCTTGTTTTTGTATCCATTCAGCCAATCTGTGTCTTTTGGTGGGAGCATTTAGTCCATTTACATTTAAGGTAATTATCGATATGTATGTTCCTATTCCCATTTTCTAAATTGTTTTGGGTTCATTATTATAGGTATTTTCCTTGCCTTGTGTTTCTTTTTCCTTTAGCATTTGTTGTAAAGCTGGTTTGGTGGTGCTGAACTCTCTCAGCTTTTGCTTGTCTGTAAAGGTTATAATTTCTCCATCAAATCTGAATGAGATCCTTGCTGGGTAGAGTAATCTTGGTTGCAGGTTTTTCTCCTTCATCACTTTCAGTATGTCCTGCCACTCCCTTCTGGCTTGCAGAGTTTCTGCTGAGAGATCAGCTGTTAACCTTATGGGGATTCCCTTGTGTGTCATTTGTTGTTTTTCCCTTGCTGCTTTTAATATGCTTTCTTTTTATTTACTGTTTGATTAATATGTGTCTTGGCATATTTCTCCTTGGATTTATCCTGTATGGGACTCACTGTGCTTCCTGAACTTCATTCACTATTTCCTTTCCCATATCAGGGAAGTTTTCAACTATAATCTCTTCAAATATTTTCT